ACCATCCTTGCTACTGGTGGGATGGGATGGGATGGGATGGGATGGGATGGGATGGGATGGGATGGGACGGGATGGGATAGGATGGGATGGGATAAGTGGCAACATCTGGGTCACTTTGGTTTAGCAGAGCAGGGCCTACACCCTATACTGGTAATGCCAGGCAGCTGGATGTGACAGTGGGGTAGGTTTTGGAACAGGAGGAGCCAGGATGCCAGCACAGTGCCAGCAGGTTGGATGGGTGGCATGGGGACTTGTTTCTTGTCCCTGCCACAGATGCCAGGAGTGGCTCTGGCAACATTGCTAGTCCTATTCCACCGTAACAGGGATGCCCTGTGCCCAGCCTCCATGGCAGCTATCATGCTGGGCTGGCACTGGGCCCCAGGTGCAGTGCCGGCTCGGCGCTGAGGCAGCCTTGCTCCACAGCACTCCAACCCCTTCTCAGTGCCAGTGGCTAATGTCTCATGATTGCACAGCACACAGCTCTGCCTGGGAACTCTGTGGGTGAGCTGACCAGTATCAGGGAGCTAGGGGGCTCACTCAGTGCTGTGGGGTGGGGGACTGTTTATCCTCTTTCAGGTCCAAACCATTTCCTTTTGTCTCTACGTGTTCTTCTTTCAAAGAGCAGTGCTGCTTTCCCCACTTCCTCCAGCAATGGGACCCCTGGCATGTACTTGCTATAGGGTCACCAGCTGAGCTAGACCCCAGCCACCACCTTCCCTGCTGGGCAGACAGAGCAGCTGCACAGCCCCTGCCCTACAGCCACACCATCCTCCACACTGTGGCCATTGGCACAAGGGCCACTGCTGCTCCCAGCTGGCTTCAGGCAGGGCATTAGCAGGGAGGGGGACTTGCACAGCCCAGACTCCTGGGTTCATGTCCTGGTTTCCAAAGGGTGAGGGACCCCCATGGGGTGAGTAGCCAGGGTGACTCTGCACTGTGCTCCCCTTCCTGGGTGACTCATTCTCCCCAGTGGGGCTGTGAAGTCCCTTGACAGGGACTCTTGTGACCAAAAGCAGGAGCACTTGGCAGCAGCCCAGGATGAGGACTGTCCTCCCCAGGACCTCTGCCCTCCTTCCCCATGGGGGAACAGGTTGGGAGATCCCTCCTAGACATCCCTTTCCACCTCACAACTCCCACCGTCCCCAAGCCATGGCCCAGTGCTCAGTGCAGGCTGACATTGTGCCCTCATGCAGTGTGCCATCCCAGCTTGGTGGCATGGGACACAGCCTATCCCCATGCAGGATGGATGCTGCAGGGGCCTCACCCCACTGTCCATGGCTCTGCCTGGGTGGCTAGACCCCTAGAATGAAGGGAGCTGGCAGGTGGGTGGAGCCTGGCCATGGTTGTTCCAGGCAGCCTGGGCTGGCAGAGGGATGTCAGGGTGACCCGGGCAGACATTGTTCCTGCTGCCACCTGTCCTGCATGGGAGCCAGCTCAACATGGGGAGCAATTCCCCCTTTCCTCAGTCCAGTTCAGCTGCTGCAGCCGAAATGTGCCCAGCCACAGCATTGATGTAACTGAGAAAGCTCTGGCATGGCGAAGACATGGGCATCACCGCCTGCTCCCTCCCAGGCATCATGTCCAGAAACAGCCAGGGAATGCTGGGGGCCCGGGGGCGGCTCCAGTCCCCTCACACCTCGTCCTCTGCTATTTCCTTATCACTGCAGTGATCTCCTCGACGGCAGCACCCGCTCAGCATGTGACTTCACTCCAGTGAGGAGGATGTGCGGGGGGTGGGGGTGTCAGCAAAGGAGCCGTAACGGGCGGTTTGGTGCGATGGAAAATCCCCCTCCTGTCACCTCCTGTACCTCACCCCTACCCTGCCCCAGCCCTGCATCTACGTCTGCTTGCATCGAGTCCTGTGGCTGCTCACAGGGGTTCCAACTCCCGTAGAGGTCCCTACCAGACCTCTGCTGGCGGTTTCTGTGACATTGGCAGCACTGAGGCTGTGTCCATTTGCACTGTGAGATGGTGAGGCTGGTGCCTGTGCCCGTCCCTCAGAGCACCCTGCCACCTTCTGGGATATGACAGGGTCTCAGCTGCTGCCCTGCACCCAGACACCCCCACAGGTACATGCCAAATGGGCACCATCAGTCTTTGTGCGTGCCCTGTGTCCATGTCTTGTGAGGCTGGAGGTGCTGTGGGGATCAAGGCAGAAGGGAGGCTGTGTTGGAGGACACAGTGCCACTCTACCCTGTGACCATTGCCTGTGACAGTTCTGGGGGTCTGTGGGGCTCTGGGCCACCCTTGGCAGGTGCCCCATCCCTGTCATGCCTCTCCAGCTGCCCAAGCTGTGGCATGGGGTACTTGCCCCCCTGCTTAATCCTGCCCCTGTAGCTAATCCTGCCTAATCCCACTGGGGGTTGTCACTGCCTGTTGGCTCCCAGGGCACTGATGGTTTAATCACCCCTAATCCGATCACCCCCACCTCAGCAGGCAGAAGGGACTTCAACCAGTGGTGGGATGGGCTTCTTCCAAGGAGGGGGGCTTGGCCATGGGTGCTGGCGCCAGCATCCCAGGCGGTCGGCACTGCTTGGCTCCCAGTTTCAGGGGCGGTTGCCGCCTGCCATGCCGGTCGGGCCTGCTTAGCAGCGGCTGGGGCGGCTCCACAGCCGGTTGCTCCGGGGCCGTTCCCAGCTGCCTGCCGAGGCAGCCCCAGCTGGCAGCCACCCAAGTGCAGGGAGCGGCTGGCTTGGGGATGGGCCCCTGTGCCGGGGGCTGTCAGCCGCGCCGCCCCTCCATGGGCAAGAGGGGGCACGTCCCCCACGCCCGCCTGCCGACGGCACAGTGTGGCTTGGCACGGCATGGTGGGTTTGGGATGGATGGGCCTGGCATAGCTCAGTGTTGCCTGGCATGGTTTGGCGATGGCCAGTGCCACATGCCACTGTCCACCATGGCTTGACTTGGCTTGGCCTAGCACAACTCTGGCAGCACCAAGAGCCACAATCCAGAGGTGGTACCCACCCCTGCCTCCCCCAGGCTGCATTTGCTTGACTCCCATCCTACTGTCACCTAGCAGTGCTAGTGTCAGCAGCCTGGCTGGCTGCAAGGGCCATAGCTGGGCATGGTGTCACAGGACAGGTTGCAGCCCTGGAGCTGCTACTACTGCCCGCACCCTGCCTGCAAGTTGTGAGGGTCATGGACTCCTCCTTCCCACCTGTGCTGGCTGCACAGGAACATTGGATCTCTGGTGGTGCACCATGGGGACCACAGTGGGAGTGTGAGCAGTGCTGGGTGTCGGGCTGAGGCCAAGCTCTGCCAGCCGCAGCGTGGGAAAGGCCTGACTGGCGCAGGCTGGGCTTGGCTGGGCGAGGAGTGGCCCCAGGCTGGGGCACGGGAGGAGGGAGGGGGCCCAGTCCCGACCAGGAGCGGGGGCAGGAACCGGTGGCACGGGTGCTGATCTAATCTGCAGTGGCAGGAAGTGTGGCCCCTGTTCCCAGCCCAGCTGGGCTCTATGGGGTGGCCCCCAAGGTGCTCTTCCCAGCATTCACCCGCCCACCTGTGCCTGCCAGTGAGGCCCACGTTCCCAGGATAGGGTTGCTGGGAGCCAGTGGCTGCGCCTGGCCATGACAGTGGGCTGGGGGGATTGTGGGTGGGCTGGTACAGGAAGTGCTGCACCTTGGTGCTGTTCAAAGGCACCATGCTGAGATTTCCCCCTTTGCTGTGGTGATGCAGGCGGCTGGGTGCTGGTGGTAGTGGAAGAAGCGTGGGGGCCTGTGGTGGGGGGCCTATGCCCGCCAACCTTTACATAGCATGGAGGGAACTGAGGGCAGACCGCAGGCCCCAAGCCTGCCCCAGTTTAGTGTCCCACTGAAACCCCAGTGCCACCCAGCATGTACACGGAAGGTTCCTGGTGCCCTGGCTTCATGACAGTGATGCTCCGGCTTCAATGTTTCTTCCAAGTGCTCTCTCCCAGATTGTTCTCCTATCAGTCAGGCAGCATCCTATCCTTCCTGCAGGTGAGGACAATGGCCAGCCCAGAAGATGACCTCATTGGCATCCCCTTCCCTGAGCACAGCAGTGAGCTGCTGAGCTGCCTGAACGAGCAACGACAGCTGGGGCTGCTCTGCGATGTCACCATCAAGACGCAGGGGCTGGAGTACCGCACCCACCGTGCTGTCCTGGCTGCCTCCAGCCGCTATTTCAAGAAGCTCTTTGCAGGGCCAGGGCCAGGGCAGGAGGTCTGTGAGCTGGACTTTGTGGGGCCAGAGGCACTGGGTGCACTGTTGGAATTTGCTTACACAGCCACGCTGACCATAAGCAGTGCCAATATGGGCGAGGTGCTGCGTGCTGCCCGGCTACTGGAGATTCCCTGTGTCATTGCTGCCTGTGTGGAGATCCTGCAGGGCAGTGGGCTGGAGGCACCTGGCCCCGATGATGGCGACTGCGAACGTGCCCG